AGGGCAGACCTGAAATGAACCCTCAGCAAGGAGTCAAGCCCAGCCAGAGCTGTGGCAAGAAGCAGAACCACCCAACTCATCTCAATCTAGATTTGCCAACCCTAGACTAACTGTAGCTACATGAGGGGTAAAAGCTTTGTGGCATGTTACTGAGATGCGGTAACTGCTTGTTGCCCTGGCAATGGCTAACTAGTTAACCTGAATATTCACATGTTCTTAGTCATCACTCTTACATACATGTTTTCACTGAATCGATGTTAGAAGTTGAGGGTAATTCTGGATGCTCAGTATTGCCAGATGCACTGAAAACAATGTGGCATGTAGCAAGAAACCAGCAATGCTTTATAATATTCTTTATGTTGAAAGTCTCCCTTTGTAGATAGCAAAGCTTTTCCCAATAAAAGGTGGAACTTCACAGAATTAGAAACTCATGCTTACTTTGCTATCATTAAGCCCACATTACGATCCTAGGGAAGTGTGGCAATATAAGCATCACTTGTTCAAACATGATATAAAATTTTAAAAATGTAAAAGCTTAGTTCTTAAATGAACTTTTCAGAAGTCATAACTTCACTAGAAAGATATAAAATGATAACAGCATATAATTTAAAAGGCTTCCTGGAAGCATACCTAAGAAAAGACAATTATATGACATTATATTTCCATATACTAGTAGAATCTGGCATTCGCTACCGAAATAAACAGGATGAGCATTGGCAGCTTAGCTTTTGGATGGTTCCATTTCCATTTGGTGCCACCACTGATGCTGGATTGAAGTGAGTGGAATTTGAGCCTAGAGCAGAGAGTCAGGCTCTCAGTCTACTGAAGATGATGGAGGTAAGATAAGCACCAAACAAGAACCAAGTTTCCACCTCTGAAGCTACTCTCCTAGCCCTACAGGGAGCTTCTGTTCAGAACCCAAGAGTTCAGTCTGGGTTCTACCATTTACCCATGTAAAAAGAAAAAAAGTACCACAGATAGGTGTCCATGCCATGTACTGAATTTAAGAACTTCCATTTCACAGGTTTATGTTCTTTTTTTAATAATGAGAAATACAACACTTGTCCCCAAACATGAATGTCACTTGGCAGAAAAAAATGCACACTGTAAAATGCCAGAACAGGAACTAGAAGACCTTTGAGCTGCTTAGACCAAGAAGACTTATCATTCACTCAGTCTTGGAATCTCTACCTTCTATAAAAACAGAAGCATTTTATAAAAAAAAAAAAAACTATAATGGGACAACCATTATAGTAATTCAATGTTACTCTGAAGGATGTCCTAAACACACTTACCCAACATGACTATTTTAAAGAAATTCATTAAAAATCATTGCTTAAGTAACATTCTGGTCTTTGGCTAAGAATAAATTATGTGTTCCTTAAATAGAGACCTGCAGGTCTCTCCTTTCAGAAATATCTACCACTTAATTCAAAATAGATGTCTGAAATAGAGAAGGGAAATTCTATGAAAATAAAGTTCTTCCCTAACGTGTTTAGTCAATTTTAATCACCAGTTGTCTTGCATTTTTCAATTTTCCCTTCCAAAGGCTAAAAATGCCTTACATTTTACATATGGCATTTTAGCATTGTTGGCTGTCACACACATAGGCAAATTGTTGTATAAAAGCTACATTGTTTAAATTAAAACTTATGCTTACAGTGGTAAATACTCTCAGATTAATAGAGTTGCTGCAGATATACTACAAAAATTGACTGAAGTCTGTGATATTAGAAAGACGGAAAATTTATCTAGTTTTAGTAAATGTCAAATCAGCAGCTATTGCTTTTAAGATTAATAAAAGATATAATGGTTTCCAGATAGCCTCTAAATAGAGATTACTATGAATGGAGAAGTGATTTACCAACAGTCACCACAATGAGATTTCTTTAAAGGTTACAATCATCAGTTATTTAGCTGAAACACTGCTGAGAATGCCTGGTCATTTCTTGAATAATGCATAATGTTCATTGTAGATTTGATCTGTATTATAACAATACAGATATTTCTAAAATAATGGGAAAAACTATCTGTTACCTTCCATTTGCTTAACATATCATTTCCATGAAGTAATTGACTCAGGACGTATTACACACTGTTACCTGAGTATTCTTTCTGCAAGCATAACTTGTAAATAATCTACATACAATTGGCATCAAAAAACAAACTCATCAACCTTTATAGACTTTTAAGAAAAGACGTGATGAATACAGGGCAAAGTAAAGAATCTTTGTGAAGCAGTACATTAAAATGATTAAATTTCTATATAGTTATGTAGACAAATTTAAATTTAAGCTTGAAATTTAATTATTAACTTGAACGACTCATAATACTTTTTTTAAAATGTTGCCTACAATGTTTAAGTACTTTTCACGTAAGTTTCCTAACGTCTTTCGGTTTATGCAAGAGACTGCTTGAAGAAGCATGAAGTATAATGTCTATTGTTTTATTGTTGGATCATGAACTGCACTTCACATAATGCTACAGGCTATTTATATAAGCTTGTTTATCCATATGAACTTCTTCAAGGGCACAACATAGAAGACCTTAATAAATTAAAATGAATTTCTCTTCATGTTGTTTCATGAATGTTTGATCAGAATGAGTAGCAGGTTTGCATTAAAGCAATAAAATATACATCCATTGTGCAGCAGAATCAGTTCACAGAAAGTATCCATTGCATTCCTAGCAACTTTGAGAGGAAAGAGGAGGGATTCACTTTGCTTACAGCTTCAGTTCTAGCCCATCACCAGTTTACGAACAGTAAATGAAATTTTTAAAATAATAAAATCTGTAATCTCCTTCCAGGCTCCTACACATCCATTCTAACCTCCTTCTTTTTCTCACTGACATCACCATGTCCATCTATAGACTGAAACCCATAAGAGCAGAATCCATAATTACCTTTTTTTATCCAACTTTATCATCATAAGTAGTCAGAGTTGACTTGGTTGAAGGCCACAAAGTAAAAATGAATTATTAGTCACACTCCAAAGCTGAGAGAATTCTCACTTGAAATGGCTGATGATGGTGATGCAAATCAAATTATCATTAGAAATGAATATGGTGATAGAAAGAGCAGTAGACAAAAAGTAAAAAAAGAAAAAAAGAATCTAGATCTGCTAATATTTAACTCTAAACCTTTTCTATATCATTTTCCTCACCTATAAAATAAGGGCATAATTCTATATGATCTATAGTTTTATATTTCTGAAAGGCCAAAAGTAAACGGGACTATTATAACAAAGGAGAATAGAACCATTAGATTTTTCTACTTTGTTAGCCACCACTACCAAAAAAATCCTATAAATGGCAAACTCCTTTAAATAGAAATGTAAATAAAAGATGATTATGTTAAATAACTTAATACAAGTCCGGCTCCTTCATCAGCATATTTAAAATTTAATAGTAACATTTTGCACGTTGTGTGATCTCTAACTTGTTCCATCTATCCTCTCGTTTTGCATGATTTGGAATAAACATGAAGACAGCCTACTGAATAAGCTCTTATTTATATAGTAAATATTTACTAGGATTATAGTCACATCTTTAGCTTGGGAAAATTCCCTACTTCTTTAGCATCTGGAACATGGATTGGTGTATTACCAAGTTGACATCTACATTCCGAAGGGCAAAAGGGCTGTAAAAGGACAGCATAAATGTGCCTTGGTTTGTTTGTACTCTGCTGACATCTCGTCCTTGAGAGCTACCTCTGCCACGTGTTCTTCTCAACCTTTGAATGTCAGTCTTACACTCTAGAGCAGGAGTCTAGGAACTATGGCTTGTGGGCCAAATCCAGTGGCAGCTGTCTGCTTTGTAAGTATGGTGTTATTAGAACACAGCCACACCCTGTTGTTTACGACTTTACTTATTGTCTATGGCTGATTTCATGCTACACTGGCAGATTTAATAAGTTAACCGACAAAGCCTAAAATTTACTATATGGCCCTTTACAGAAAATGTTTGTCAACCCCTGCTCTAGAGGAAAATAACTTGGTACAATTTAAATTCTAATTTTCCTCCTCTCATAAGCATAAGAAACACAATCCCTAAGTAAGGAGCAGTGGCATGGATTTGAACAGATTCACACATGCATATACACATATATGATCATGCCTTTTAGCACAGAATTATAAATAGTCACTGCTTTTGACTCTTTATTTTAATTTGAATTCTATAAGAGGTTACAGCTCCCTACTAGTACTCTTTCCTACAACAGCCAAGAGTATGAGGATTTCTCCAAAGGAAACTGCTATCTAGGTGTAATCACATAACTAAAGAAACTAATTCTTCCCCCAGCGGTTCCCTGCAGCTCCGCCAAAGGTCTGGTTTTATTCCATGCTCATCAAGAGTCTACTCTAGACACAAGGTTAGGACACAGGGAACTAGCAGAGCACTTAAGTTCTACACCTTGAATAATACTCCTTTAAAGACAGAAAATAAAATGACCGGCACCACATATACAGGGATAAACATATGCATGCATATTCATATGCTAGAAATGCCATAAATTATTAGGAGTTTCGAGAACACCAAAGAAAATACATCCCTTAAGTATCAGTGCAAAGGAGGATCAAATTTTAAAATAATATGTTTTAAGGGTACTTGCACTAAGGATTTGGAGGACAAATAGATGTTTTATATTTATAACTTTTAGGCAACATGTATAAAGACTTGAAACATTAATACATAGATTGAATTTTTATTAATCAATAAATCATTACTCAAAATGCCTGCTACAGCTAGATTCTGTTTCCTTCCTCTCTTTGGTTAGTAAAGAGAAAATATTAGCTCCACCCTTTAGCAAATATTCTCATACTCCATCATAAGAATTTTCATGTATTAGCATAACATAAATTAAATCCATGAAGCACTTTAATGTAAGTCATTTCATTCTCTGAAATTCATTTCATTTTTCTGAAACTTCATATTAAGTGATAGAATATTTAGGCTGACAGACTTTTTGAAAAGAAAATAGAAATAAAAGAGGTTCATTTCACCTTCACATGGTGTCTTTCTCATGCAGAGTTCAGATTTCCACATTTGTATCCCTTTAAAGGATTTGATATGCAGGAAAAGAAGAAAGGATGATGGTAAACATTTCATCTTAGAGACACCTACAGACCACCACATTGTAGAATGAATAAGGGCTTAAAACTTACCTTTTACTGATGTGTTTGGTGGAGGGCCTTCCATTCGCAAGTTCCATGGAGGGTCCCCCTGGTTAGCAAAGTCCCTCATTTTCAGATAGCTAATTGTAAGTCGAATGATGGATGCCTTGTCAAGCTGGCTAGTGATGGCTGCAGGGAGAGGCAACAACTTGGCCAATTCATAGAACTCAAAGTTTTCTTTTCCCCGGCGGGAGCGAGCAGCATCTCGGGATTTCTCCTTTCTCAATGCTTGTAAACTGAAATCGAAGGAGTGAAAAAGTATTTTTTAGAACATGTGATTCTCTCATCAGACAGAAACTGCTCTCGTTTTTGTTTTGTTCCTGCCCCGCTCCACCCACCCCAGCAAAAAGCTCCCAAAATCGTCTTTAAAATTCCAGGGGTCAGAGTAAAATGAGTTCCAGACAATGTCCCTACAACCATAAATTCTACCTCTAGACTCAAATGCCATAAACTCAAGTGCACTGAGTAAAAATAGTTTGCTTGTTAGGGTTTTTTTCCTCCAAGTGACCATGCAGTGACATACATTCATTGTTTCTAAGATATAAGATTTACAGATGATACTTGATATTTACAACTATAATCAATTTAAAAGATTGGGCTTGTATTCACATATCTATTCTCAAGCTAATGATTCTGTTCATTTAACTGTAATCCCTACAGAATCTTATGCCATCAAAAGAACACATTTTAAAAAATTTATTTCAATTATCATCTTGGGGGGTAAAAAGAATAAACACAAACACAATTCACAGGATCAACAAACAAAACGTTGATGTGCTTTCAGCCCTCAATAAAGATCAAGACCTTCAGTCAGATAAAGAAATCATCCTACTAAAAATGAAGATTTCAATGTAACTTTATAAGTGTGCTGGTAATTAGCTGATAATAGAATACTTTCATTCTTTATTAATGGACATATATTAGTAGACGGATAGATCCTCTGAAATACCGGAGAACAAAATACATTGCCCGGAAAAGTCAAACTTTAAGATAATATAATTTTAATGCTGAAAGATAAGGCCCCATGTGGGTTATTAAAATTTATAAACATTATAGACATATTACTTCACAGAAGAGGTAACAGGTGAAATCCAGCATTTTTCTTTAACTATTCATGTGCACTTCTGTTTGAAGTTTGCTCACATTACTGAGGCAGAATTTGGCACAACTAAAGTTGCTTGTGAGCATCTGACAAGAGAATTCCACCTACTCTGAATTGCTCTGTTTTGTTTCTGACAAGAAATAAATTCGAAATCAGACCCTGATGACAGATAATTGGACAATATTTACAACAGCCAGGTACTATTAATACCATTTGTAAGTGTCAATTTATTAAACTCTGAAAGCATCTTGAATCTTTGAATCTAGCATTCTGGTTTCACATTATAAAATAACAAGAAAGAGACAAATGAGCAAGGAAACAAGATCGGAGGAATAGATCAAAATGAGTTCAAAGTGTGGCTCTTATCTCTATTAGTATAGTATGGACAATAACATTTCATATCACATTATAGCATTCCTGATACTGTTCATGGCTTAAACACTGTATTCACTGCACACTCAAAATAGCTTATTGAATATACAATTTTTTAAACTTTTATTTTATTATTAGTTCCAAGCATACAGTACATTGGTTAGACATTTATATAGTTTATAAAATGATCCCCTAATTGCTCTTTCTCTCCTCTGGCTAAGTAATGCCATAATGTTCTGGTCAAAAACTTGCTAGGCTAATAACCCAACCAGCCAACCAGTTTCATGTTCACTCTATTCATACAATATTTTACTTTAGCTAACTAATGTATTTCTCAAAATTAGACAAGATAATGCTATCGATTTCAAAGCCACAGCAGTCTCAGGTAACAAAACTTTGTCTCTTGATGTCTCAGGTGATAACCTCAGGCAGAAACATCACTAATTTACAAGGAAAAGACATGTTATGTCACTTATTTCCCAATATTTTAGCTGGCCTCTACTCAATTCTGCAAATGCTAAATTTTGGCTTGTTGAAAATTATGTAAATAAAGTAAGAGGAGCCTTAAAATCTGACAAAGTATAAGTATAACCAGAATCCAGGTTAACATCTTAAGATTAAAGAATGATTCATATCCTTCCTTTTATATCATAAAAGCGATCTAACACCATTTAAATCGCCCATGCCAAAAGAATTGTCCTCACATGTTTTCTCTACCACTTGTAGAGTGCAGTGGTTCAAGTTCAGTGCTTTGTTCTTTTTGTGTTCTTATAATCAAATACCACTCCAGAATGTAGGATGAACTTATTTTTTATTTTTTATTTTTTTTGCAGGGGGAGGTCCAGTAAGTGACTATGACAGAGCTCTAGAGCAGGGGTTGCAAACTCAAGGGCTCTAGGGGTTAAGGCAGGGAATATCAATGAATAGACAGGCCGGATGGTGACTATTTGATCTGGAGGACACACACAGTTTCAGCTGATTGCAGCTTTGAGGTAAGGCATGCCTCGTGTTGGTTTTTCTATTTCTAGAGATCAAAAGCTAAATTTTTATATCACATTTCCAATTTTATGTTATATTTCATTTTATGTTAGCTAATTAAAATTTCAAAAATTATGCAAGCCACATGAAATTTGGTAAATAATGGAGCAGGAGCTCATTTTACAATGGGATAATAATTTGGAAGATCACCTTCGAAGGTAGTCTTACATAGATGTTATGTGTAACTTTACACATGTCACTCAAATGATTACACGTGGACTCATTTGTTATCTAACATTACTAAAATTCATCCTAGGAATTTCTCTATTCAACTGAAGTTAGGCAATTATTCTGAAATGATATTAATGCATAGGCTTATCAGTAATCTAAGGGGAAAAAAACTAAACCTGTAGTGAGGAAAACCCAAGACCACAAGACCACAAAACCCAAAACCCAAGACCCAATGGGCTCCAAAAGCTAGTAGAGGGGAGATGGTTTCTTATGTGAACTCAGGGAAAGGGAGTACATGGACCCTAATGCCTTGAGATGTCTTGCCTAAACATGGCCCTCTGACACATGACTTCTCTAAAATAACCCTGGGCAGAACTTTATGTGTTCCTGTCCCACCTTCTTGTTGTTTTTCTCTTCTCCACAGCCTCCTCCCCTTTTTAACTCGAACACACACTGTTACCCTACTGGGGTAATCTTCTTGGCTATAATCTTAATAACAAAGGGTTTCCATGACTCCCACATTACATCATTATGCAGACACCACAGCTCAGAAGACTTTCAGAATGATAGCCCTGTGTCTGTAATAAGTAGTAATTGATTTTGAGGGCAACAGCAATAAAATACAGTCAAAGGATTATAAAGATTGTGGAGAGGCTGATAGAATAGATGAAACTAAAGACCTTAAGACAATGACACAGATTGTGGATTAATCTTTTGTCTGATTTTGTGAAGTAGAGCCTAGTTATAAGCAATTCTCAAATTGAATTAAGGACTACATGAAAACAAGATAAACATATTTGCACATTCTGTTCTAAACCTATATATACAAATCATATATATATATATATACATACACATGAGATTGTATTTGCAGAGTACTAAAGAAAGAATGGGTTGGTTGTATCTGAGTAAAATGTTATAGTGTCGATCTCTGCCATCTAAAACATGATTAAGCTTCAGAACCAAAGTAAGTTACTCCCTGGGCCAAAACTTCCTGCTTTAGTTCTTCTGCTTAGGCTCTGAATAGCAGGAAAAAGAGACTCTGCCTTAATCCTTGGCAAATCAAAATTCATACTCTCTTTGATAGGGATAGTATCAACCTCACCAATAATTACCACCAACCACCAAAAACAAACAAAAAAATCAACCACCATTTCAAAAGAGAGACAGATACATATAGATATATAGAGATATAAATAAAATCTAAAAGTCATTTTAAAAATGTGTGTATATTTCAGAGAAGACAGTGATTTTCAGATTCTCCTTAGGAGTCCCATTTCTCCAACCAAAAGGGTAATCTCATATCTAAATTTCCCCTTAAAAACCTTATAAAGTTAGATGCCCCCCTCTTTTTGTCATTGATGTTGCCAGAATTTATTCTAAACAAGTATCCTTGGTTTAAAAAATATTATTTAAACTGTTTCTTCTAAACACTTTGAAAGAATTTTTACAAGTTTCTAAAGTTATACCTTAAGCGTAGATAACAAGCAATCAAAAAAATTACTGGTAATGACATTGCTTGTTGAATGCAAAGTGTTTTTTTTAATCCTCCTATATATTTTAAGTCCTTTCAGCAAATGGTGTATTTTGTGCAAAGACTATGGTGAAGGAGTTAGAAAACCCACCCTGGCCATTTGCAGGCATTATGCTTCTAAGTGACAAAGTTGAGCCTCAATTTTATAATCTTATAAAATGAGGATGACAAACAAGGCATGTTTGGTAAATCCCCTAGGACCACTGCAATGACTCGTATGATAATTTCTATCATAGTATATTATAAACTATAAGGAAGTAAACTCCTCAGAAAATTCTAGATTTTAACAATTAAAATAGTTAACATTTATAAACTCTAAATTTGGTAGAGTCCACTTCAGAATTTTACAACAGAGAAGAATTTTAAGAAGTTAGACAGTTTAACCATCCTTAAACCCACTTGGAAGCACAGGGGTTAGGAGTAGGCTCTGTAGACAGGCTGTGGGTATTCATATTATCACAGTTACTAGCTAGGCAGCCTTGGCTAGGTCTATCACTCAACATCTTCAGGCCTCAATTTCCTCATCTGGAAAATGGATATTTTAATAGTACCCACTTCATAATATTCTTGAGAAAGAACTGAGAAAATGTATGTGAAGTGCTAAATGCCTACCATATTGTAAACATTATATAAGCATTAACTTTTATTATAATAAATACAAAACTTACCAGGGGGAAAAAAGCCCAACTGTTTTAATCCTAGTACCACATCTAATTCTCACCCCATCTCTCCATAGTTTTTATAATTTTCTCACCAAGCTTTTCTAACACCAATTTTGATTCTAGTTACAGTTTCTATAATTCTCTATACCTGTTTGCTTTCCTCATTATCCTCTCAAACTTCTTTCTATACTGCCACTTATGACCGTTACTTTAGTCAATTTAATGTAATGACAAGAAAAATCAAACCAAGGGAAATAAAATCAAAGGGCTAACTTCTGTTTGGCAACAACTCTAAAACTGCCTATTGTTAAAACTCCTACTGTGTTCTTTCAAATCATGACAATCACTTTAAGTTCT